GCTATACACTGAATAGTTGAAGACCCCAATCTTTCTTATTAGCAGAGTTGTTAGTCACTAGTAGATTTGTTAGTGACACAGGTGACAAAGTCATCTCTCTTTGAAGAACTACAGTAAAAAAATAACAATAGCATGCAGAGATTTTGAAGAACTACAACAACAATAATAATAATAGTTAGCATTTATGTACTGCTTATAATTTGCAAAACACTTTATATGTGTTAACTCACTTGATCTTCATAACAACCCTGTGAAGTAAATGCTATTATTATCTCCAGGATAATATTATCCTCAGGATATAATTATCCTCAAGAAAATTGAATTCCAGAGAAGTTAAAGTGACTTGTACAGGGTGACATAGACTACAGGAACTAAGAGAAAGGATAAATACTCATGAGAAATGGGGTAAAGTTTAGGAAACTATTTGGAGAACTTTTCAAATGATAACATCCAATCAGGAGTTAACATGGGAGATATTATATAAGAATAACTGATGGGAATAAAAGATGAGCAAACCGTGAACAACAAAGAACATGTCACATCGTACTTTAATTTTTCTTGTCAGCTTTATCAAGAAAACATGTAACTTCTATAACCTGTAACCCTTCCATTCTATTTAGGATAGTGCAAAGAACACAATAAGCACTGAGTGAATAGAAGATGGCGCCATTGTTTTACACAATTGGAAAATTGGATGGAAGGAATTCAGAAGAAAGGTGAATGGCTATATTTGTTACATTTAATTTTTCTTCATGGGATGACATCTATTATTCTGACACTGATATTCTTCCAGTGATAGTATGGCTATAGGTCATGAAATACTTCAATCTCCCAAAATTCAAAGTTGAGGAACACTCAAAGGGCAATGAAGACATGCATGGTGGGTGCAACTAGGTTATATAAATGATGATGATGATGATGATGATGATGATGATGATGACGACTTACATTTATACAGAGCTTATTATGTGGTAGGCACTGTTCTAAGTACTTTACAATTATTACCTCATTTGATCAGATAAGGAATTGCAGAAAAGTGGTATAAAGGATATCATGAGAGAAAGTATGACCAGAAAGAAAAGATGCGCTGGTCATCTAGGAAGAATGAGGAGGCCAACCAATGGACAATTCATCTACTCCACTAGGAGTCTAATGTCAAAAGAATTCAGTGAAGGTCTCAAGTATGTTTATGAATAATTTACGGGAAAATATGGATCAGAGTTACATAGGAAGAGTTGATGGGTTACCGTCTGCACAACGAGCCCACTGATGAAATCACAGATCTTACTGGAGTATGGGAGGGAGGCAACCAGTTGGGTATACACAAGTAGCCACCAAAATGATTTACAATGTCTTATAGAATGGAACAATGTAGACTCATGAATACAGATTGGTGTAGAAAAGGAAGAGATGAGTTTTATTTGCATATGGGTAATGGATTAAATCACACAGGATAGAACTATAAAGAGACAGAAGAGGAAAAGAAATAAGTCCCAGAAGAGAGTTGTAGGCGAATTTCCTTTTATCTATGACATATAGCAGGAAGATGTATCTACATAGGATGTGTTGCATAAAAAGTCCGAGATAAAGAAGAAAACAATCTTGTCTTAGGTATTAGATCAAGATTTGATAAATAAGTAACGATAAACAACTAGCCACACTGGAAGTTAGAAGCAGAGAGGAACTCCTTGGCCATGTGCCCAGCGGGGACACGCTAGGCGGCAGGTGTTAGAGACACTGTGATGAGTGAGGTCGTGTTCAGCAGAGACTACATATCTAATGGACAGCATGTGTCCAGTGGAAAAAGCACTTGGTAGAGGCCATGCACCCAGCGTCCACTAGAGACAATATGGCCAGCAGAGCAATGTCTGGCAAAAGCTGTTCATCCAAAGGCAGTGGTATCCAGCTCAGGCAGCACAGCCAATGGAAATTAGTGAGAGACAAGCCTGGCAACAGGTGCATGATGACATCACTAGAAGACATCAGTATCAGACTAGAAGGTCCTGCAGTATCAAAGTTACGAGCTGCTCCTCCACTTGCACCCTGGCTACCTGGGTGCACTTGACGTGTGCTTCTCCACATATGCAGCCTGGCAAGCACATGCTCCCTGTGTGTGCCCTTCCACACATTTCCTATGTGTGTCAACTACTCCCGATGAGGTTTGAGGTGATAGGAACCAGGGCAGTGTTACCTGGAATGAATTTACACGCTTATGCCATCTCTCAGTCAAGGGGCAAAGTTTATTATAATGCTTAGAGAAGCCCGTGAAGTTGCTAAGGAACCTGTAAGCCAGTGAGGATGGTGCTGGGGCTTATACGGAAAAGGGACAGGGAAAAAAGGATATCAAGGATACTAATTAGGTAATCTGGAGACTTCAAAGGAATATGCCAGGGGTCCAGGTGCCTTGAGAGAAGGTGTCTGTAATCTATGGATGGGGAAGTTCAGGGAATCTGTAGGAATAACTCTATTGATACCAGACATTGTGGGAGAAAAGAAGTTTTTGTTTAGTTGCCAGAGGCATGGTCCTTGGGAATCTGGTGCCAGGCCCTGAGTCTGCTCTGATAAAGGAATTACAGGGTCATGTGCTCTGTAACAAGAGAAAATTTTCTCACAGGGGCCTACTGAGATACTGGGTGGCTTCCAGAGACATGAACTTAGGGCTGGGGCCTGAGCCCAAGCACCCCATCAATCTCACTGATGGTGTGCATATTACTGGAAGAGTATGTCATATATTTATTTTTTCCTAATATATTTTTATTTCATTAAATATTTTCCAATTACATGTAAAAATTTAATATTTAAAAAAAAAATTTGAAGTGCCAAATTTTCTTCTCTCTCCTTAAGAAGGCAAGCAATTTGATATAGATTAAACATGTGAAGTCATGCAAAACACTTCCATATTAGCCATGCTATTAAAGAAAACACAGCTACTCCCCCACCCCTGCAAAAAAAGAAAAAGATAGTAAAAAAAAAATAGATGCTTTGATCTGCATTCAGACTTAAAATCCGTTCTTTCCCTGGATGCAGATAGCATTTTTTATCACGAGACCTTCAGAACTGTCTTGGATCATCGTATTATTGAGAATAGCTACATCATTCACGGTTGATCATCATACAATATTGCAGTTATGTTGTTTTCCTGGTTCTGCTCATTTTACTTTGCATTGGCTCATGCAAGTCTTTTCAGGTTTTTCTGAAACCATCCTGCTCATCATTTCTTATCACTAGCACAACCACGTTCCATCACACCATGTATTTATGAAGGAAATTTTTTATTCCTACTTTTATTATTATTCTATTTCATTGAATATTTTGTGCTTGAGTCTACTAGCTGACTATTAAAGAGAAATGCATTAACAAGGGCTCATGAACCATGATTTTTAACAGATGCAGTCCTTCAGAATATCTTGAACCTGGGGGTAAGATTCTCTGAATTGGGGGTGGGGTGCTCCTAGATACTATATACCATTAGCAATAATTTACCTAAGCTGGTACCATATTTCATGTCTCAGTGGTCAACTAATTAATAATAACAATAGTATCCAGCAGATAAGTGATTTAAGGTCTGCAAAGCACCTTATGGACATTCTCTAATTTTGCCTTACAACAATGAATCTTTGTTAATGGTGATAGATTAATAAGTACTGAAAAACTCTGGCAATATTGATCACAAACTAATGAAATTTAAGATTCTGAAGTGAGAAAGGAAGGAAAGAGCTGAACATTAAGAAAGTTCATTTCAAAGAGGTCAATTCTAACAACCTCAAGAAAGTCAATGAAAACTTATTTTGGGAAGGAGATTAGGCATCTCAACCAACCATTCAATTCAATAAACCTTTATTAAATGCCTTCTTAAAATGCAAGGCATTGCACTCTATGCTGAGGATAAAAAGAAGATTCACTTTCTGCCCTCATGTTTCTTATAATATAATAAATTTTGAAAAAGGAAACTAGGAAAGGTGAACATTTTTTGTCTTAACACTAAAGGAACGAAGGAAAATGCATTTGTTAGACACCTACCACATCCTAGATACTGTGCTAAGACTTTACAGATATTTCTTCTGATCCTCACAACAACCCTGGGAGGCAGGTGCTATTATGATCCCGCTTTTACAGTTGAGGAAACTGAGGCAGATAGAGGTTAAATGACTTGCCTAGGCTCACACAGCAAATAAGTATATGAGGCCAGATTTGAAATCAGGTTTTCCTGACTCTGTTTCCCAGGTTGCCTCAAGGGACAAAACAGATAAACAAAAAAACTTATTCCTTTGGAAAAGATGAGTGACCTACCTAGATTGCATAAATATCTGAATTACTAATTAGAAAGTCAAAAAACTGGAAATTATAAAGGAGTCACTATGAGACAGTGTGCAAAATCTGAGACTTTTTTTTTAAGAGCAGAAGCAAAACTGAAAAATGTTTTTGGAATAAATAGTTTTGATAAATCTAAAAGAAAAATTGCCTTTGGTTATAAAAGTTCTTTAGGAGTTCTTTAAAAAAAACCCACAAAACCTTGGTCATACTGGATGAGATGTGGTCAGACCTTTGTGACGGGCTTTGCCCTGGATTATAAATAAGGAAGCCCCACTAGGCCAGCATCATAGGATTTTCATTATTGCCCATTCCATTGCCTAACAGCTGTGATGGGAATGCCAGGAAGCCTCTCATCTCTGCGCATTTTATTCTAAATTCTAACCCAAACACAATGCTTCCTTTATCATCTACTATTGGCACTTGAGTTCATTTCCACTCCGACTGGGTGGGGCTGTCAAATAGATGGTCGTGTTCTTCCATTATTGTTAGGCTTTCATGTGTTTGATGATAATGGTTTAGTAATTTAGAAATATGCAACCCTACATACAAATATAATATGTATTGATGTTCTGCTTTCACCCCTCAACCTCAGCTCACTAGCATAAGGCTCACCACATTTCTGCAGGGCACCTAGCAGAAGTAGGGCCATGAAGAAAACGGAAGAAAACAATTTCTGCTACACTTACTGATTTTGCCAGTTCGAATTCTCCAGCTGCATGATACGCTAAGCCTAAAGCAAACGCAGCTTCTCCTTCCATCTTTTTGTCACCCCCTAAAAAAGAAAATGGAGAAAATTAGCATGTGGTCCAAAGAAATGGTTAAAGAGCGAAAGTAATAGAAGCCATATTTATATCATAGTTCTTATAAGACAATATTTGTAAAGTGCTTAAACAGTGCCTGGCACATAGCAGGCACTATATAACTACAGAAATATTAGCTAGTATTAATAAATAAATAATTATTATTATTATTCATTTCTCTCATAAAGTTTCTTAACCTGGGATCTATAAACTGATTATTTAATTATTATTCATTTTTAACATTCTTCAAAAATTTTTTTCTGAGTTCCAAATTCTTTCCTTATTTCCAGTACCTCCCTTACTTGTAGAGAAAGCAAGCAATATGATATCAATTATACATGTGAAATTATGCAAAACACATTCCATATTAGCAATGTTACAAAAGACAAGAAAAATAAAGAAAGTTTAAAAATTATGCTTCAATCTGTACTCAGAGTTCATCAGTTCTCTCTCTGCAGGTGGATAGCATTTTTCATCATGAGTTCTTCAGAACTGTGTGAATAATTTTAAAAAATAGTTTGACAACTGTATTTCAATATAATTGGTTTCCTTTTGAATCCTATATATCTTATTTTGTACATTTAAATATAGTAGTTTGAGAAGGGGCCCATGGGCTTTACCAGGCAGTTAAAGGAGGCCATTGTACAAAAAAGGTTAAAAGGTTCCATAACTTTACAACTTATAGAGAACTTTCTTCACAACAATCCTAGAAGGCAGACAGTATGAATATTACCACCCCCCTCATTTTATAGATTAAGAAACTAAGGTTCATTGAAGGACCTTGCCTAGAGTTACTTACAACTATTATTATTAGACAAAATGAATGTATTCTTCAAAGAAATGATATGAACACAGTAGACTTTGTGATTGTTGTTTTCAAATGCAGTAGAATTTAGAAGCAGCAAGGTGGTAACTGAAGTCGTTAAGACCTATGTTCAAATACATCCTGAGAAATGCGTTAGCTGACTGTGACCATGGGCAAGTCACTTAACAATTAATCAATAGCAATTAATAACATTAAGTGCCTACTCTGTGCCAAGCAGGTCAGCTAGGTGTGGCAGTGGATAGAGTGGCAGTCCTGGAGTCAGGACAACTTGAGTTCAAATCTGAGACACTTACTATCTGTGTTACCCAGAGCAAGTCTCTTAACCCCGTTTGCCTTAGTTTCCTCATCTGTAAGATGGACTGGAGAAGAAAACGGCAAACCACTCTAGTATCTTTGCCAAGAAAACCTCAAATGAGGTCACAGAGTCAGACATGATTGAACACCACCACCACCACCACCACCACCACCACCACCACCACCAAGGAATAATTAGCAAAGTTGATATCCATTTGCTTATATTCTGCTCAAAAAGGAACAGTTTCAGTAAAGATTAATATGCTACCATCAGAAGTGTTAGTACAGGAAGTGATGGCTAGCTTTTCTTCCTATGATGAAATTCTACATATTTCCATGTAAAGTCCAAACACAATTTCATCTGTTGATGGCCCTTTATGATCTGTCACTGAGGTAGATTCCTTATTTAAGCAAAGGGCTGCCCCCACTGTATTTAAAATGGATAATCCATGAATTAGCTAATCATTTTTATTCACAACCAACACTCAGCGAGTGGTGTTTAGTCATGATGTCCATTATATACAAGACCGAAAAATTCACCTGCACCAAAATTCATTTACATCATCTTCCAGTGTACAGGAAAAAAAAAAGAAAGGAAGTCTTCATTGGTCTTTGGCTTAGTGTTTCAGATCTGAGTGCATTACACCTGGGAAAACTTCAAATGTGGGGATGATGGATATGGATTTCAGAGTCTATTTACACATACATGGAATCAAAGTCTTTTAATTACTTTAATTCCCCTGAAACCAAAATCTTTGGAAAAGAGAAGCAATGCTGTACTGTTGGTTCAAATAATGAATGGCAAAGCTAAAAATGGAATGTAATTTATCCATTGTTTTGTTGTTCTATTAGGTCTTGCTGTTAAGTTTTGGCTGTTTCTGCTATCATGTTCAGGATCCATTTACAAGTAAGAGCTAAGCTCTGAAACAAAAAGATCTTTATTTTAAAAATGCTGAAGTGAAAAGGACAGCCTTTTGGAATTTGTCTTAGACTCATAAACTTAGTGCTGGAAGGGACCCTAGAGGTCATGTGGACTGATTCTGCCATTTCGCAACAGAGGAAACTGAGGTCCAGATGGGTTAAATGCCTTGCATAGGGTTACAGAGGCAAATAAAAGAGTCAGGATTTGAAAATAGCTCCTCTGACTGCAAATCCAGCATTTTGTCTGCACTTGTGGATTGAACCAAACGGTATTAATTATACCTCCTCGCGGATAAAAATGGTCCAGTGGATAGAGCTTGGGGCCTGGAATCAGCAAGATATAAGTTCAAATCCGGCCTCAGACCCTTAAGATCTGTATGACTCTGGGCAAGTCACTTAATGCAGTTTGTCTCAGTTTCCTCATCTGAAAAATGAGCTGGAGAAGGAAATGGCAAAACACTCCAGTATCTTTGCAAAGAAAACTCCAAATGGGGTCGTGAAATGACTGAACACCACCACCAAAAATAGATGAAAAGGTCTGAAGAATATCAATCAATGAGCTTCCTCTAAATTAAGTCACTAGCACTGAGCATGTATAGTTCATTGGGAAACCACGGATTGGAACTCAAAAAGGAATGGTGTCATCACCTTCAAAAAAAGAGATTTGCTCTAATGACTTAAAATTAATATATAATCAAATACATAAAGCAAACCTAACAATGGTTCATATTTCATAAACTGCATCATTAATAATGTAGAAATAATCTGATCTCAAAAGTTAATTCTTGGGAGTAAATTTTTTCCTATTATCTTCCTCCAGGAGGGAAAAAAAAGGTGTCCCCCCCTTCATAGGATGATAAGATTATAGATTGAGAGATGGAACAGCCCTTAAATGGCTCCAATTCTCCTGACTTTACAGATGAGGAACCTGAAGCACAGAGAAGAGTCACATAATTGTGAAGCATCTGAGGTAGAATGCAAACCTAGATCTTCCCAATTCCAGGTTCAGCACTTTATCCACTACATCACACTGCCTTAATTCAAAATTAGAGTTTGGCCTCTTAGAGAAACATCTGGAGTTGTTTATGAGTTATCTATAAAAATGTGATCCCATAAAACAGCGTATATCAGGGACAGTCCAGAATTCAATGAAGGCTTAAATATTTTACTATACTAACAGCTCATGTTCACAAAACACAGTCATGTTAACTTTTACTTGACTGCAAACTCCCCAAGAAGTGCTGTTGTTCAGTCATTTTTCAGTCACATCTGACTCTCTGTGATCTGATTTGGGGTTTTCTTGGCAGAGATACTGGAGTAGTTTGCCATTTTCTTCAGTTCATTTTACAGATGGGGAAACCAAGGCAAACAGAGTTAAGAGACTTGCTCAGGGTCACACAGGTAGTAAGTGTCTGAGGCCAGATTCGAACTCAGGAAGATGAATCTGCCTGATTCCAGGCCACGCACTCTATCCACTTTACCACCTAGCTGCACCCTTTTTCCTCAGGAGTAGGCAGGTCAGATGTTAAAATCACCATTTTAGTGATAACGAAAATGAGGCTCAGAATCAGAACCATAACTAGCATATTTGACACCTAGGACAAGTAGCATTGTCAACTGTGAAAGGAAAACTCAACCGCTGTTGTTGCTGTTTTGAGGGGCGAGAGTGGAGAAGAGACCATGAACATGATACTCATGGAGGGAGAGACCTTGGGATACCAACCCCTTCCAATGGGGTGACCACCAGAGTCAGGACTAGGAAGAAGAGGAAAGTTTGTACCCCTTTTTCTCCATCTCAGAAATGCTCCTCTATTATTTTAGAGCCATTTTTATAGGAATTTGGAGGGGTTTGGGGGGAGAGCTCAAACAAGTCACTGCTTTTACTCCACCATCTTGGCGCTGACTCAATGCTTCTCTATCATTGACTGACTCTAGGTTAACATAACTTAAGAGGATCACAGGATGTAAAGCTAGAAGCAAACTCTGAGAACTTTTCATCCGACCCCTTGCACTTTCACAGTCGAGAATATGAAGGCTCAGAAGGGTGGTGACTTGCCCCATGGTCAGATAGCTGATAAGCTGGGATTTGAACCCAGTATTTCTCACTCTAAAGCTAATGGGTTTTTTTTCTCTTATACCACACTCCCTTATATGAATTTTATGAATTAATATATCATATAAATCTATTCTTGGGCTTTTGTCTTTATATTATATGTATAAAAAATATCAACCTTCTTAGAACTACTTTTTATGCTGTTTGTCTTAAATTGGTAGACAATACTCAGATAAATTCACCTATTTTACTGAAAAGACCACTGAGTTCCTTGTGACAACTGAGCCTCAGTTTCCTTCCTTTTTGTAATGACCTGATGCTTATGTGCAATGAAAGCGTATAACCTCAGGGGAAAAAAAAGTCTTAACTTCCATCAACGACCCTAACTTCTGATTACCAGCCCCTTGTTTTACAATGTTGTTCCCAGAATATGGCGTTTTTGAAGATAAAGCTTTCAAAAAACTCATGGATTCCTCGTGGTCAGCAAGAAGGCACTTTAGTTTTATAGTGAACTTTGGAAGTATATTGATGGCATTTGCCTTTGAATTTCATTGGAAATAATCAAACACTTGACAATTTTTACTTTGCTCCTGGGAAAGTCCAGAACGGTGCATTGATGGAAGGAAAGTATGTATTTTTTTCCCACCTACCTTCTTTGGCTTTTTCACAAGCTTTCAGTAGAGTCTTGATAGCGTGTTTGTACTGTTTGTCATTCAGCATTCTTTCTGCTAGCATTGTGTAGATCCTCCGGAGATTTTCACAGGCCATGGAGTGGAGATTGTGGCCGCTCAAGTCTTGCCATAACCGTCCCTCTGTCATTTCATGGAAGGTTTCATAACGCTCAGCAGCTTCTTCAAGCTGACCTGAAGAACAAAAGTCGTTCACAAAGACAAACTGGGTGGGGCCTACCCTGATTACAATTTTGTGTATGTCTCAAGGCCAGAGTATATGTGAAGTCCAGAAGATACAGAATTACTGAGGTTGTGGTGATGAGGAACATAGAAGGACTGGCAGATGAAGCACGATGATTAAGGATTTAGGATATCTATGAGCGGTGATTATTTAAAGGGCGATAGCTGGGAAGGAAGGCCAACCCAACAGGACTTTGAATTTAGCCTTGCCTTTTGCTAGACTCATGGGCAGTCACCTCTGAGAGATTTACTTTGGATAGCAAGACTTGAGATGGATCAGTTATCTTTGGGGGCCAGTTTGAGAGTCCTGACATTTTGTATTGATCATCATAATGAAACCAAATACCCATTTGACAATTTTTAGTTTTTTGATAAGGGACGAATTGATCATAAATTCCACAAATCTGACTAAAGATTACTTCTAAGAAACAGCTTTTATTCCCCTTTCCATATTTGGGAAACTGAGGGAAGATTAACAGATTTGGTAGAAATGTGCAAAAATACAACATAGGAAAGCCAATACTTAATATTGCCTCAGGCCATTTCATTCCTTAAAAATGCTAAGCAAACTTGTTTTCTAGTATGGTCGTTTACAACAGCACAAAACTAATTATATTTTACTCATTAACATCTATTACTTTATGGAAATGAGTAAAAAAAATTGTGGTGGCCAAAAAATTTCCTAATTGGGATTCTCTAGGAAGCCATCCCCGAACCACAGGCAGCCCACACTTCTGATGCTGCCTACAAAAATTGCCCCTTCTTCTCCAAATAGAGTCACTTATAATGGACTAGGCTAGTACTATTATTTTTTTAAAGTATAATCATGCCTTCTGTTGTCAGAGGGTACAAAAAATTGGCTGAGTCTCCATGAAATCCTTTATCATGGTTGGTGAAACCTGTCTAGATAGACCACATCTCATGTTCTCAGAAAAGAATTACCACTGTATTCAGATAATGATCATGAAAATAGCTATGCCTTATTAAAATTTATGTTTTATAAATTATGTCAAGATTATATGGATATGAAAACCAACACAATGCAAAGATTATAACTTCTCCATCTTTGTTTATAGTAATCACAAGGTGGTGGTGGAGGTTAGAGGGGAGTCACTAAATTTTAGCACTCAGCGCAGTGCCTGGCACAAAGTAAATTCTTAATAAGCGCTAGTTGACTGATATTTTTTAAACATTTCACAATTGTGATAAGACTAGCACAGGTACAACAGCAGCTAATGCAATTCCCAGGGTAGATATGGGTAGTAGAGATGGCACTCATGAAGTAGGAGGACCAGAACTGGATTTGGAATGCTTTTGTTTGAATTCCACATCCACTACCTATTGCTTGGGCCATTATAGAAAAGAAGTGTCGCCTCTCCATGCCTCAGTTTTCCTACTTGTAAAATAAGGGAATTAGATTAGATGATTTTCTAAGGTCCCTTCTAACTCTAATCCCCATTGTTCCAAGACCTAGTCTTCTAACTTGGCATCTTAACAAGTACAGGATAGTGCCTTGAACTGGGTGGCCAGATATAGGGACCTACTCCCAAGTTCTAAACCCCCTCTTTTTTCTTGGCCTATTCTTTTTCTGTAACTACAACGTCCATCGAATTTCCTCATAATCTTGGTTCTACTCCCACTCTCCTCTCTTGACCATCAGGACTATATCCTGACATTTTGTTTACTCCTGCCTTGTTGATTTCCTTTTTGCCTACTAATGGTAATCCTTAGGTGTTTCTGACCAGTTGTGAACTAAGGCATACAGATTTTCTATTCCTAATTTAAGAATCATCAATTTCATCTTGAAGAGTTAGGAGCACAGGAAAGAGTCAGTAAATGGACTTGCAAAAACTTGAACCCTTTGGCTATAATCATACAATCAATTGACTTTGACTGCAGAAGGTCTTGTCAGAATCCTAGCGTTAGATATTACAATGTGATAATATTTGTGAATAAAAAGATTAAACTATTTATCTGTTTTTTGTATGTTTGTTTTGTTTTGCCCAGATGTGATATGATTTTATTGGTATAGGGAACTCATGATCTGGAAACTTACTTCATTGAATGTCAACTGTCAACTGGTCTTATAACTTATGGTCTTAGTTACCTGGGGGGCATTAAGAGGTTGTGATGTCTGCAGGCATACATCTGTTATGCAGAGATAGGATCTGAACCCAGATCTTCCTGACTTTAAGACCAGACTTAAATCCAGTCTGCCACAATACCTCAAATATCTACAGCACATAAAAAATCTAACAGATTCAATTCATAGCAGTCTCTCTAATCATATTTGCCATTTCTTTTTCAAACAATAAACAATAAAATTTAAAATTGGAATTTTATGAATAAAAGATTATGCCTTAAAGTATCACACAAACTTGTTCTTATTTAAAGTTAAATCTAAATAAGATTATAACTTCAAAAAAATTAATTGAAAATTTAAAAAATTACTGTAGCTACAAGGAGTTTGGCAAATGACCATTAATATGGTTGCCATGTTGTTAAGAAATATGTAGATGCATGAGGAAATCAGTTCTATTCAATTTAGTTCAACAATGATCTATTAAGTGTCCAACATGTACAGAACACTGTGCCAGGTGCTATCGACACAAAGCCAAAAATAAAACAACACTGTCTCCAAGAGGCTTATGTTCTAATGTATAGCTCAAAGAAGAGAGATTTTTTTTTCCCATTTGGTTTATTGATTCAGTTTGGTTACTTTTTACCATGTACCCTGCGTAGGTCCATATAGAATGCAATTTGTCAATGAAAAAACTTTAATGTATAAATAAGACACAAGGTAGGACCCCAGGTCCTTGTCCTCATCCACCAGAGTAACATGGACAACAGAATTTGATTAGTTCTCCTTCCCTGGACAAGTCTATTGTTGACTTCTTCTTTCATTAAGAAAGGACAGAGAAGCAAGAAAGTTATATCAGAAAATCAATGGCATAAAAGCAGAAAGAGAGAAAGCAGGTCAGGAAAGAGAACTCAGAAGTATTTCATGGATGTGGAGAGATGAGTCTTTAGGGTGTCACTTGAAGAAATAGGAACAAATCTCTCACAATCACTACTATGAATCTGAGGATCTCTCTCTCCTCTCTCTCTCTCTCTCTCTCTCTCTCTCTCTCTCTATATATATATATATATATATATATATATATGTATATATATGCATATATATATATACATATATTCATCCATCCACCCACCCACCCACACATCCATCCACCCATCTATCTACCTACCTATCTACCTACCTACCGCAGTGATATTTATTTATGAATTTATTTATGAAGATCTGAACTCATGACTTCCTAGGTAGAGTGAACTTCACCAGAGTAGAGACTCCCTACACCAACACGTATCAACAACTTGTTCCCAACTTTGACTTTTAGAGAACTGCCCAAGGTGCTGTGAAGTTAATTGTGCCCAAGGTCACATAGCCAGCAGATGTCAGAAGTGGGACCTGAAGCCAGGTAAGCCTTCCTAAATCCTAAGACAGAATTCTGCTCACCTGAGAGGCAACAATCCCTCTCAGCAAGGTGATTAAGCAAGTGGTCTACAAAAAAAGCACTACTGAATAATGCTAGAATACACTAGTAATATGCTAGAAACTCTTAAACTAAAATCTGGGAATTTCTCAACCATTCTTCCCAAGCTATGCAGGGAAATGACGTTTCCAGGAATAATTAAAAACTACTACGAAATGAAGTCAAAACTTTCCAGAAGCCCCAGGATCTTCTTTTAATCTATCATCCATCTGACTCAATATAAATGTGAAGCAGGCTAATAAAACACACTTGAAGAGACATGTTGTGAGCAGTTATGTTCATAATGAGATAACATTCCCCTAACAAATGAAAATAGAATAAAACCTGGATATTTTTCTAACTCGATGGAGATGACAAAAGGAGTAAGTAGGTATTTATAGTTCTTCACCTAAAGGAAAGTGTACTATTAAAACAAAACCACTGCCATTTTAACTGAAGCCCACATAAACGGAAACTCATCTATCTATTCATTTAAAAAAAAAAGAAAGAAAACAAAAATAAAAACACATGGGCCCCATAAACCAAAAAGCAGGACAGGAGGCTCCGACTCACACTATGTAGGGGAAATAAGATTCTCTCTGTCTGGGTATTATCTCAGACTTGTTCACCCCTTCTTCCCTTTCTCTATACAACAACATTGCTGAAAGTTTATAGATATTTGTTACATCACAGCAGATGTCTTGAACAAATATTAAGCAAAGGAGAATGTATATGATCTCCACCATTTTAGGTTTTTTTTTAAAGTAGAAAGATTGACTAGATATTAACACAAATGGGTTTAAATGTGAAGCTGCCATAAAAGCGGGCACATAAATGTAATTCTCCCAGCCGCTATTTTGATGCACATTTTTGATTCCATGAATATTTTATGAAATGGCCCAAACTAAAGCCATATAACATTCCTGCATTACTGATGCTTGCGCCCGTAAGCTACGAACATTAGAGGCATGATTGAGTGCATTAAAATGAACTCATTCAGCAGTGCATTGATTACTCGAAGGGAGAGGGAAAAGGCGGGGGGAAGGGAACAGGGAGGGTGGGGAGGGAGGAGAAAAGATCCTCCTCTTCACCATAGAGCCCACATATCTGAAGTTTGCAACACAGAAATGAAGACAGAATTTGTGAAGCATGCGCTATGATGGGCTATCCCATAAATAAAAAGCCTAGACCTGGCAGTAATTAGGGAAGGTGTTAATTATGTCCAAGGATTGCTTCTGGAATTGTTCAGGTAATTTAAAATGTCACCGTCTCTAAGAGGCACTGAGTGATCTGCTCCATGCATCAGCAGTACTGAGAACAGCTAATTATTGCCACTTACAGCCGGCTACTTGAACATTTGCCAGTTAAAAAAAAGAAAAAAAGAATGCAGCAGGAACAGTTGTACAAAAAATAATTTGA